TAGAATGTTCTGATCGACATTTTAATACTATAAAAGGAGTGATCTGCATTATCCTAATTTGGTATATTCCCAGACTGTATTCATTTATTTATGTTTGTTATAGTATGTTCCACTTACTGACGCTCAGAAACAGTTAGGAGATTAAGTTATTAAAATGAATCGAAATAATTATCATTATTTAAATTTAGAAATTTTGTAAATGGTCCGATATTTCTTGTCCATCCAATGTATGAAACGTTATGTATAATGCAATTTCACATGAAATCTTTACAACAATTGTATGCATATACCTTTTTTTGGTCATCTATTCATCGATTCAGTAGACTATTTAATTTTCGATTCTGGTAACTAAGAGTAGTTTGATGTAGATTTTAGTTTTTCTATTTGTTCAATTGGTATGATCGAGTTAATTTGTATAACAGGAGTAGCTTTTATTAACTAATGTCTTTACTTATTTTACATATTGTTGAATATTACATAAAGATCATTGTTATAAATACGTGTAAAATGACGTTTTTATTTATTTATTTATTTTTCCATTATTTTAGTCTCATTTTCTAAATGAGAATGCATAAAAGTATAAAATATCATTACTGTTTGAATTTTTTAGGTTTAATATCAAAATTATTGATCCTACTGGATTTCGTGCCGCCAATACATTATTATTATCAGCTATGAATAATTAAAACACCCCTTTATGAATTTTAAATTAAATTGTTGATTTTTAAAAGTTTTTTTTTTTTTAAAGGTTAATAAAACCTGTCATAATGTAAATGTTCCTTGAGAAAAATGAAAAAAATCAAAATTGATCATATATCTGAAAATGCAAATTACAAACAAAATATGCGTGAAGAACTATAGTATACAAGTGTTGTCATAAAAATATATATATATATATAGAATCCCGAATCCAATACATAAATAAATCCCATTTATAAATAAAAAAAAGTTTTAAAAATAAGTATATATAGTAAGTAATTTGTCATTAGTTTGCGGTACTCTGTCCGCAGATGATCTTTGGTTATCTGTAGAATAATCTTGATTTCCACCAGTTTTTATACTTGGAGATCTAGATAACTTTGCAAAGGAAGCCTCAACTTTTCTTTGAATTTGTAATTCCCTTTCCTTTCGTTCGTTTTCGACTTCTTCCATTAACCAACACTTAGTTGGTATCATACATAATCTACATTTATCCTTTACATGAAGCTGTGCTGCTATGGACTTGAATATTGTGTCCACAACCTCAGCACGTAAAAATAAAGAATGCTTTCCACCTTCGATAAGAGTTAACCTACAATCTGGCATATTATCTTCCATCCACTTTACTGCGGCAACTGGAATTCGATCATCTTTTGTTCCATGGAAAACATGAACAGGATGATCTACATCAGCATAAGAAAATCCAAAAGCTCGTCCCCGCTCAAAGC